GTTTGAAAATTTTGCCATTGAATTCAAAATAGCTTTGATTGATTGCTACTCTAGATAGTTTCATAAGATCATTTAACTCATTTTTTGAAACCTGTTTATTTTTGTTTAAAGTTTCTTGAAGGATTTGAAGGGTATCTTTTGTAGGAATATTTGAATACATATTAGTTACATCAAAGGAGATAAAAATTGCATTTTCAGGTATTAATTCATCCTTAATTTTTTCAATTAATTTATATGTATTGTTGATACTGTATCCAGATTCAAAGTTTATCTTATGTTTTAGTTTATTATTTAGGTACTTACATACATTGTATGCTGGGGCATTTCGGTAGTTAACAACAGGACGTATTGGTACATTTGTTTTATGTGTTTTAGGTTGTCCTCTAAATTTTGGTATTATTGGATTTATCATTTTTAGTTGTATCATGTCACTTTTATTTAAAGTTTTACATTTAGATATTGTACTATTAATAGCTACAAAGTCTGATAGGTCAAAAAGCTAAGAAGATAAAAAATGAAAATTCGAATGAAACCCATTCATTTTACCCCAAAGTTCAAAATCTAACAAATATTGTATTTGAAAAAGATGAAACAGAAATGTTATCAAAAGCACTAAAATACAACATTAACATGGACTTCCAACAGAAGGTTATAAAAGATGAAATGATAGATCTAGAAGTTGCAATAAGAAAACAAAAGACAGACATCCAAGAATCAATTAGACATAATTTTGTACACGAATTAGACAAAAATAGAATAGAAACTAAAAACAAAGGTATAATAAAGAAGTCTAAAAAAGACTTAAATACTGTAACATCAATATCAAAAAAACTCAAAGATAACAACGCAATAATAACCAAAGCTGATAAGGGAAATACAACTGTTATAATAAACATAGACGACTATAACAAAAAGGTAGAAAACTTTATTGAAGACAATAATTACAGAGAACTCTCTAAAGATCCCACACTAGTATACAGTAAAGAAATTAATAGTACAATATCTAAATGTAAAACTTTAAATAAAAGTGACATGATACAACTAAAAATGATAAATCCAATAATACCAAAATTTAGAGGACAACCTAAAACACATAAAACAAATGTACCAATACGTCCTGTTGTTAACTACCGAAATGCCCCAGCATACAATGTATGTAAGTACCTAAATAATAAACTAAAACATAAGATAAACTTTGAATCTGGATACAGTATCAACAATACATATAAATTAATTGAAAAAATTAAGGATGAATTAATACCTGAAAATGCAATTTTTATCTCCTTTGATGTAACTAATATGTATTCAAATATTCCTACAAAAGATACCCTTCAAATCCTTCAAGAAACTTTAAACAAAAATAAACAGGTTTCAAAAAATGAGTTAAATGATCTTATGAAACTATCTAGAGTAGCAATCAATCAAAGCTATTTTGAATTCAATGGCAAAATTTTCAAACAATTAGAAGGATTGGCTATGGGTTCTCCACTTTCTGGTATTCTAGCAAACATATATATGCAGCATCTAGAATCATCAAAAATCATAAACGACGAAAATCCATTTAAAAAAGATATAATCTATTGGTATAGATATGTCGATGATATATTATGCTTATACAACGGCAATAAAGACTCATATCAAGATTTTTTGAAATACTTAAATTCTATCTCCCCAACAATTAAATTTACGATGGAGACACAAGAAAAGAAGATAAATTTCTTAGACATAACAATTACTAAAGAAAACGATCGACATAATTTCAATATATATAGGAAACCTACCCAAACTGACCTAATCATTCCATTTGAGTCAAACCATCCTTGGCAACACAAAATTTCTACATTCAAATCAATGGTATTTAGACTACTTAACATACCAATGTCTAAAGAAAACTTTGAAATAGAAAAGAAAACTATAAAAAGAATTGCAGGAACAAATGGATACAAAGAAAAAATGATTGAAAAATTAATAAAAAATGAAAAAACAAAAAGAATGAAAGTAGAAGAACAAGAAAACTTAAAGAAAGAATTTATATGTATTCCATTCAGCTCATCCTTAAACAAAACCTTAAGAAAGACATTACCAAACTCAAAATTTAAACTAAGTTATAAAACAAGGAACAACGCTTTTAACATAATACAAAAAAGAACAAATCCGATACCCAACCCACCAAATGTATATAAGAAATCAGGAATTTACAAATTATCATGTAACAATTGTGAAAAATACTATATTGGTCAAACAGGTCGAACATTTGAAGTCAGATACAAAGAACATATACAGGCAATCAGATCAAACAATATGACAACACAAAAATCCTCATACGCCGAACATATACTTCAGACCGACCATACATACTCAGAAATGAATAAAAATATGCACATTCTGGATATTGAAAATAAAGGTGAAAAAATGAATACAAAGGAAGACTTTTATATTTATACTCATCATATTAATGACAAAGACAATTTACTAAACTTGACACAAATTCAAAATCAAAACGTAATATTCAATGAAATTATACATCTTAAAGAAAACACCTCCTTCCCTTAATATAAAAATTATCACCTGTTCTTTAATAAGAAATATCTAATAATGTTTGTAAATAAAAGAAACTAATAGGTTATATACTATACTGTGATCATGGCATTAATGTCCGAAACATGTAAGTAATATAAAATAAAATGTTTTTAGGGTACTGTGGTATTTTGATTTGCTTAGTAATATATCTAATATATAAAATTCTCGTGTCACAGTGTTTGTCTGCAAACTCCTCCGGAACGACTTCACCGATCGTTATGAAATTTGGTGTGTAAATTCTGTAGGTATGCGAATCGGACGTAAACTATTTCCCGTTTCGAAATTCTTAAAAGGGCTCCGCCCCAGTGGCTCTGGAGTTTCCCATGTTAACCTTATGAGAAATGGAATTAATGAATCTTAACAGCTGTTTCAATTAAACAAGTTGGTTCTGTTCTATGATGTTCAATAGCATTAAAGTTACAAGGATTACCAACAGGGTGCAGCACTACTATTTCTTTTACATTTATGACAACAGCTAATTTGCAACCAAAAAGTGAGTGAGCGTAGCGAACGAACTTCAACCTGGAGGCGAGTTAGCGTAGCGAACGAGCTAACCTGAAGACAAGTGAGCGCAGCGAACGAGCTCCAACCTAAAGGTGAGTGAGCGTAGCGAACGAGCTCCAACCCAAAGGTGAGTGAGCGTAGCGAACGAACTTCAACCAGGACGTGATTGAGCGATGCGAACGAGATCATCTTGAAAATTAAACGTAACGGTACTTTCTTTCCATCGGTCTGTCTTAGGGGAAACCTATAACTTAGGCGATACGAAGTTCGCCGGGTCAGCTAGTATATTTATATATATATATATATATGTGTCCGTCAGCACGATAACTCGAGCAAAAATGATCCGATTTTGATGAAATTTGGTACAAACGTGTAAACGTACGTTTATTCGAACGAGTTCTTGATCCAGCATGATCGGACCATGGGAACAGGGGTTTACGGGGGGTTTTATGGGGTAAAAATAGGTTTTTCCCATTTTTGACCCAAAAAACATAAAATTTAGCAATTTCTTTCCAAACCATTTTGAAGAGCTTAAAAAAACAAATAATTTAGTATATTGAAGCATTATTATGCGCCTAATGGTTACGGAGAAAATTCCAAAAAATTGTAAATTTAAAATTCCTATGTTATTCTTAAGGAGAATAAGTAAACTGTTGTAGTTTGCTTGTTTGTGAACATATTTTGATCAAATTTGGAAAATGTTTTTATTTCTTACAAACTATTCACATTTTACAAAAACAAACAGTTTTACCCTCCCTGATGCAGCAAACCTAAGTACTTGTTAAACTAATTCTATTTAAATCAAGAATAAATGTTATATTTTTAAGTAGACATTTCAGTGTAAATCCAATCAGTCAAATGGAAATTCGCTTAGTCTGCAGGTTTGCTGCGGCGGGGGTATTGTATATATTTGGTGGCTTTTTGTTTATAAACTCAAACTATTTAATAAGTGTTAGGATTAGGCGGTATAGTACATCTTCCCGTTTTGAACGGTCACAGCTGCTAGTAATTAATAAGAGAAGAAGAGAGGTAATGTTTGTATTTCTTGAAATTTCATGTATAGCCTGAGCACACTCAAACTCCCTCGATTGTCTGCAAATTCTGTTATCATGTGTTAAAACCCCTTACACTAATAGCTTTGTGGTATATTTTTAAAACAAGATAAAAGTGGAACATTATTATCAAATTATTTTAACACGTTCACTGCGGATGGCACAGTACTGTCACGGCCACCTTTAACTCCAGGCCGCGGACTTGAAGGGGCAACATCGCAAGTAGTGTTGTAACAGCTGTTTTGTTTGGAGGCAGCTAATGGTATTTGTGTATTTTTTAAGAATACAAAAGCTTGGTTTACTGGATTATGAAAATATTGACTCTACTTTAAATGTACACAAATATATTTTCAATTTAAATATTGTTTTTGTTTTCAACACTGTATGTTTTCTTTTCAATCTTTTGATAAATTTATGTTAGTAAATTTAGATAAATAATACGCGGATTAATGAGCTGGGGTCACCTGTTTGCCATAATATCTTATGGGACGCCTGGCGCTAGATAACACTTCTTGCAGCGTTGCTAATTCCACCAGGCCACGGCCTGGAGTTAAAGGTGGCTGTGGTACTGTGCCATGAAAATCGGACTGCTCACGCTGACTGTGCCATGCTACAATGCACCTATCTATTTCTCATTGTCAGGTTAGCTCCTAGCGGATTCGTTCGCTTACCATATTATCGTGGTTTTAGAATTTTTGAATATCATTTTCTCATCACCACATTTTTAAGGGTATGTTTTAGTGTAGTAGTTCAATTTTTTAGCATCAAGATTTGATTTTTTCACTTTATTACTACACAGTGAATGTGTTTCTCTGCCAATTTTTACTTGCCTATATTAACATAATATGCTTTTGTTCATCTTAGGGTGCTTTCTATCCCAAACGATATTTACAAGCAGATCTCTGGTACATCTAGTGAGAAATCTACTTCATTGCTTACAAAAGAAAAGGATCCAAAATCTGAAGACTCAGTGAAACTCAAACCTAAACGTGAGTGTATTAATAATCAATCATTTACCAAAACATCAATTTATTTAAAATGCTATTACGATAGGGTTACAACTGTTCTCACAACTACCTAGGGCTACCTATGTTCTAGTTTTGAACCTCTTCTGAGTATGCTGCCATTCTGAAACGTCCTGCTGGGCCAACCACTGGTTTATGCATAGGCCTATTTACCTGAAAATTGTTGTCAGGTACTAACAAAAATTAAAAATGTTGTTTTCAGAGAACATAATAAAAGCACGGTGAACACTTCTAAGATCAGTTTATGAACCAAGTGATTAATTTCAGACAAGGGACATAGAACATTGGTTTCCAAGCGGGAAACTACAAATGAATTGTTCGGTTACTCTGTCCATATTGGCTTTCCTCCTCTTATCCATACTCATCGCTAGTTTGAACACAACTAAATTTCTCATAACGCTATTTACGCAGTCTCAGGTACCACCCCTCTGGATTTCACGTGTCGTAACATTTGCAAAGAACAATTTTGCACGGCTCGCCAAAAATTCCGCAGTGTGTTGAACCATAGCTTAACACCTTGAGTGCTGAAAATCTATAAACAGGTGTTCGCCAATGGCCACCGAATCAGCGAACTCAATTGTCATACAAATATTTCAGTTACAAATCACAAAAGAGCAGCGGTGATTGTGCTGTGTTACTCCGAGAGTGGACGTAGTTCACTGAAACATCCAAAGGTTCCAGCACTGGATCTGGTAACTGCCTGGATCCGTAGGCAGTGTCTTTGTAATGTGGCTCTAAGAGAGAAATTCCCAAAACCGTGACAAAAGCATTGCCAGACGGGATTTTACGGGAAATTTTAGTACCAACCTACACCTAAATAAAGCTCACATTCTAAGCAACAGGCTGGCAACGATTATAACCTTCACCGGCAATGGCTAAGCTCATACTGAACTAATGTAGTGGGAGTGGCGCGACTACATCTATAGATGTAGGCCGACAGGAGCGCTCTTGACTCAACGTACTCAACGTGTTAAAAGAGTCTGCCAACTTCTTTTTAAAGTAGTCTAAAGTGTTAGTGATGGATTTAAGCCTTAACGGTGTGCGCGCCTTGCGTCGTGGGACAGGGTATGCCTGTGGTGGTATGCGCAAGAGTGGCGTGGAGCAGGGTTGCGCGTCTGTTCTCGTAAAATGTCGGTAAACATCAAAGGCGCGAGTTGGAGTGAGGACCACCCTGCGCTAGTCCCATTTATTTACATGTTTCGTTAACTGTTGTTAAAAGAAATGAAATAAACATTCATTATCATCATTATCAATTAATTAATAATATTTTAGAGTCGTTTTAAAAAGTGGACATTATTGTTTTTAATATTAAACTTTCATAAAAGTAACAGTCTATAACCTGTAAGGTAAAGTAACCTGATATATAATAACCTTTATAAAAACATTATTTACCTTTGCCTTTATTTAATTGTTATGTTCTTCAATTAACGCAGTACAATCTTCATCGACGCATCTTGATACAGTTTGTCTGAACGAAAATGACAAGACTAACATAGCTGTCCCCAGTGACAATAAAATCTCAAAGAAACAGCAAGTCGCTCTTGCATAGGTATAGCATAGTTATATTTTCTGTCAATATAAATACAATGTAGTACGGAGGTCTCTATATTGTACACTATCCACTGTGGCCCCCAGACCACCGTGACACGCATCGTGGGACAGGTCGTACGTGGAGCTATACGCGCACCGACGCCCCAGCATTTTCACAGTTGCGTGGTGCGTCACTAGGGGTCTCAATCCCGGGTCTTCAATCCAATCCCGGGATTTCGGGATTCGTCTCAGCCGATCCCGGGATCAATCCCGGGATTATATATTATTATGATTTTTTACTTTTTAGCCATTTTAAATGAGCGAGAAGTCTCCTCGTTGAGTAGGCCTACTTTAATGTTTTAAACTAGCCTAACTGGCCTGGTGTTACACTGCGCAATGTTTCCGTTTTCTAAGTAAATAAATATTACCACGCCGAACTTTCATCGCCCGTATTTCTTATTTACAGTGTATAAATGTTAAGACATAAGACATTTATTCATCATTTTTACATATGTAATGCATAGACAGGTCAAATAGTTGGTAAATACATCTCGTATTCAGTCTTGAGTAAATAAATGTATAAATATATAAATAACAAGTAATTCAGTCAATACAGTCAATATAATACAAGAGTTAAAATTGAAATTGAGCGACGAGCAAATAAATACAAAAGTTACAGACCATGGCAAGAGATTAAAAATTTGACAGTAATAAATTAAAAAAATCGTGCAACTTATATCTAAATCACAGTTACATCCTATTTCCTCGGCATCTTATATGACACTAAGTTAAAACCTTCAGCATCGACACTAACACCATTATTTGTAGAAATAGGCCTAGCTTCAGAAGCCACGCCGCCGCTGACGTCACCGTAGATGTTTCCCTTCATCATAGCCTCGCCCTTATGTTGGCCTTGGCCATCTAGACCTAGCAAGTCACGTGACTCCGTTAAGCCTAGCCTACTCCCTGAATCAGTCACAATTTTATTAATTTGGGAAGATCCCTTATTTTTATCACCGTTTGAAGTCACCACTGCTTCCTTATAGGTTTTCTTTTTTATTTTCTTATCCTCATCTGCTCCGACAACGTCAACTATGATTGAAGATGAATTTGTTATCAATGAACTAACCTCGGCTTTCAACTTGGCGGTGTTATACTGCACCAAAAGTACATTTTCCGACATAGTTTTCAAATTTTCTGTAAGCTCAGAAATTTGGTCAGTCAGTATTTTAATGTAGCTAAAACAATCACAGCACAAATTTGCCTTTGTTTTCTTTAGCTTACTGTTGCTTGGAGTCTTCTTCGCTCGCTTAATGTCTTCTTTGCAGGTCTTACAAATCCACTCTACAGTATCCTTAATGTCATCAATGTTGATATGTCACTCTAGAATATAACAAATACATTTTAAAAAAATCACAAGCAACCGCACTCGCACGTAGCCTAGATACGTCACGCTAATAGATAGATTAAAGATAGCTAAGAGAAAAAGATAAAATGGGAAGAATCACGTGTAGAAGCGTTAAAAGGTTATTTTGACTGACAGCAATAAAACAATATAAGATACTGTAAAACAATAAACCATCTGCTTATGTAGTAGCGTGTGTATGAAAAACGTAATTTTAGATTGTAATGAGATTATACTCGTGTGATAATAGTTATATTTTATGGCATCAATGAAAATAATACTTAAATTTCCGATTGCAATGTTATGTTTGCTACACAAATTGCGTTGTTTACGTTTAATGTCAACAGTAAAACTCAAAATAACTTGTAGGCCTACTGTAATTTTTTTTTTCAAAGAGTTTGGCGGCCTCTTTTAACCTTGCATTTGCCCGTCCACATAGACTAAGCGCCCGTGCGTGGATCGTTAACAGCAAAGCAAGGAGTGAGCTGGTACAGTACAAGGGTGAACTGTACTGATAAAATGTTATCGGCAGTGACCAGGATCCGAACCCACGACATCGCTGCCTTGGGCCCGAAGTCCGCGACGCTACCGACTGAGCCACCGACTCACTAAAGATAGCTAAAACTCAAAATAACTTGTAGGCCTACTGTAATTAAGTTCTAACTAATGTAATAACATTTACAGAAAGTAAATCCAAATCGTCTAAAAACTGTAACATATATTTAGGCCTACATTCGTTCGCCTATTGAGTTTAATGATAATTAAATTTTCCAATCAAAAAGATCATTAGGCTTACTTATACCATTTCGTATAATCATCCTAAAAATTAAGAGTATATGTGTTTCAAGTGTTATTGGACTATTTTTATTAGGTTTCCTCAAGTAAAAAGTCCTCAAATTCACAAAAAAATCAGTATAAACATAGGTTTTTCAATCCCGTTAATCCCGGGATTAAAAGTCACCAATCCCGGGATTTCTAGGTATCAAAAATCGGCCAGGATCCCGGGATTCGGGATCCCGGGATTGAGACCCCTATGCGCCACGCAATGCATCGTGGGACATAGGCTTTAGGGTACTTGCGGCCCTAGGCCAAACCAACCCGAGTGGCATCCGCCTCTTAGCGGAAATTCTCCCCGATCGTGAAGAAATTGTGAAAGTCTCCCAGGATCACGGGGACCAAGGGACATCATCGTCACACATGATCACAGCGAAATAAAGAATATCTCCCATGATCAAAGGGGCATCATTATTGTCACCTATAATCATGAAGAATCATTACATTTATGTTCTAAAAAAATTGTTTTTGCACAAAATGCTGCAGCTCCTAATTGCCCTAGTGGTAAACCTGGCACTTTAAAGTGTGCTTTAAACATTGTTTTGTGTGATAAGTAAAATAAAACAATACTTATTTCAATACAGTGTAACCTTGATAAGAAGAAGACTCTCGATAACAAGCCACCCTTGATAACAAGGGCAGTTTTCAAATCCCCTTGAAATTATTTTACCCCTAATCATATATTACTGCAAACCTCAATAAGAAGTCAACCTTGATAACAAGTCTTATTTAATAATCCCCATGAGAGTCTTGTTATTGAGGTTCTACTGTAATGATAAAAGTTGAGTATGAAATATAAAAACTAGGGATGGACGAGATTGGATTTTTAGTTCGAGACGAGACGAGACGAGATTTTTTATTTCTCATAAAATTTCGAGACGAGATCGAGACGGGATTTCCCTTCTCATACACAACGGGAAATGCACGTTCAAAATTTTTACCTGATTTTGTAACATTGTTAGATGACTGTTTAAATACAAAAATAATGATAATAGGCAAGAATATTTACAATATTTTACTAAAAAACATCAGCATAACATTTTTTTATTAATCACGCCTAACTTATTAAAAATGCCTAGACGATTAGGAAACATAGTGATATCAGTTAGGATAGAGTTCAACTTATCCTAAAATAAAATAAATCATAAAATAAAAGCAATATTAATTTTTATAAAATAGTTACTTGTTTTGACTTTTTATAGTAATAAAACATTCCATACACTGCTTACACTTAACAAAACTTCTCAAATGTTATTAAAGTAATATTATTAAAATAATTAAAGTAATATTTACATTAAACAAATTTATTAAATAAAAACGCCTTCACAAAGGAAACGCAACTACAACACGCTCCTGTATTGCGGGTATTGCATTGACTTTCTGCAGGCGTTTTTAATTTTTTTAATTTTTTTTTTTTATTCTTGTCTCGATAAAAATTTTGGCCAAAAAGAAATCTTGTCTCCTGTAACGAAAATTAAAATTTCCCGAAAATTTCGAGACTTGACCATCCCTAAATAAAAACATTGTTTTTAGATTTGATAGTTCTATATTTAACTAAGATTAAGAAGTATGTAAGAACATTGTGTACAGTAATGATTGGTTTACATGATTGTCCTCTTAGGTAACAAAAGCTCTGTGTTTATAACAATTTTATATTTGGAACAACATTATGGTTTGTTGTTGTTTTAAAACTGTAGGTAAATTTCTATTTTGTTATGCTTCCTGGATAAGAAGCATCTCCAGTTTTACCACCTGTAAAGGAGATAACAATTGAAGAAAAGGTCATTCAAAAGAGTTCACGTAAGATGCTCCAATTAAATATAAGCATGCCATTTCCTATTGTAAAATCAAGTAGGCCTACACTTGATTTATTTGAGCTAACAGCTAACATTACTATTAGTAGTACGGTGCAGTTAGACTTAAACCTCTCTCATCCAAGGTGATAGCTAACTTTTGACTTAACCTCTTTTTGCTTAACTTCAAGAGTTTATCACTAACATTCACAGGTCACTAAATCGCAATTTACCTGATCAAAACACAAAAACAATGTCCTGTACCTATAGGAAAAAAAGAATAGTTTACATAGTATTTAAGTAATATATTTTTAAGTGTTATAAATGTTTGAAAAATGTCCATTTGTTTGTAACTCTAGAATCGGTCACTTTTATGAAGAGGATTCTAGTTTGAAATCCTTTGTAGATTACCTATCTTTGTAAATAACATATTTTGCTCTAAGCCGCATAGCTTTTGAAATATGTAATAAGAGCAATTAAAACTAACTTTTCAAATTTCACCCCCTCCCCCCCTAATGATGAAACTATTTACCATACAATACTAGATTGGACTGTTTGTAGTCAAAAGTTAGTTTTCACTTTGGATGAATAAATAAATAAATAAAAATGCCTTTATTTATTAATCGTTTCTCAATACAATTGCTTTTTAGAACAACTTTTGTCAATAACAATAACTAAACTAACAAATAAATAAATAATATGGATGTTGAGGCTAGGCTGTATACCTACAATTTATAGTCTGATATTGACTATTAAGATTTCATATACAGGGTGTTTGTGAACTCTCTCAAAAAAATTCACAGAATTATTCCTTGGGTTAATACATGCATATTTTACATTATAAACATGGGTCGCCGGAGCCTCGTTTTCCGTCTGTCTGTCTGTATGTGTTTTTTATAAATAACCTTATAACTCGAGTTTGAATCGAGGTACAAACTTTAAATTTGACACACTTGTGTATTTTAACGTGGTACACAAACATGCAAAATTTAATTTTGTTGACTATAACAGTTTCAAAATGACGGCCATCTAAAATCTTTTACCTCAAATTACATGAAAACCACTAGAGTTACAAAAAAACACAAGGATAACAAAATGTAGGACTTTTAATGCCAAATCAAAAGACACCTAGATCTTAAAGATCAGACAACAAACAGCTGAGTTATTAAATAATTTTTTTTTTTAATAATATAGTTATTTGTGCAACTAGTGAGAAAAGTGAGCAATTGACTCACTCGAGAGAAATCCTTATCGGGAATGGTTTCTCGAGTGAGGCAATTGTACTTTGAACTCCAGTTGCACATTATACTTTTCCTACAGTTACCATAAAAAAAATAAATTTTTGAAGAAACATAACCTATTTTTACACAGAAGTGAACTTTTAATATAACATTTAATGTGAAGTGACAAATACAATAGTACAACAGCTGATCAGCTGATTTACAGCCAGTGCTGCCAACGTATTTCGCGCGCATACGACGTTGCCTGCATGTTACGCGTTCACTATTTCGTGCCTTCACTTTGCAAATCTGGAGTGAGACAAAGTAATTAGAGTGAGACAATGTTAACATTGTCTCACTGATGAGTGAATTGGCCACTTTGCTTTCTCAAATTAGTGAGAGAACATGTACATTGTTAGGTAACTGTAGGAAAAATAACTTCTTTACTGGCTTTTAATTGTTATTGTTTATTCTTTAAAATCATCTGATCCTTTCTAAATTGTTACAACAATGTAAGACAGCTGGTTGGACAGATGATTTTGAGATGATGATCATATGACTTTTTTGAGTCATTAATTTTTTTAATAATTAATCATTTCTTTACTGGCTTTTAATTGTTATTGAACAATTGTTATTGTGCAACTGAGTAGGTAACCTGAACCTCAAGATTTCTGACATAAAGAACCAGCCAAACTTTTCAAAACTGTTAGAATTTTTAACCTAAACCTCAAGATTCCTGACATAAAGAATCAGCCAAACTTTTCAAAACTGATACAATTTTACACCTGAACTTCAAGACCCCTGACATAAAGAACCAGCCAAACTTTTCAAAACTGATACAATTTTACACCTGAACTATGTCGAAGAACAAAACAAAAGTTTCAAAATATCCGTGTGGTGAATGCAACATCGGTGTAAAATATTCCAGTATAAAATGTACTGGTCCCTGCAACTCCTGGTTCCATGGTGGGTGTGTCAATATCACAGAAAAACAATTAAAAAACCTTTCTAAAGAAGACATTTCCCTATGGAGGTGTAACAATTGTAGTGATTTTTCCCTCACCTCTGGAAAGCCAGCGTTACAACTAAAAGAAGACCAAACTCCCACACCCCCAAATCAAATATCCTCTGAAAGTCAGGGTAACAAAATGGGCGAGGTAGAAAACAAAATTCTAGAACTAGAAAACTCAGAAGATCCCGATTTAGAAACTTCTCTAACACTTGCAGCAGAAGTTGGAAACGCACTTCTAGCACAAAATAGCAAACTAAGAGAAGAAGTACTCAACCTGACTCAACAAAACTCGAGTCTGGCCCAGAAACTAACAAACATACAAACCATTGACATCATGAACTACCGCGCTCAAATTGAACAACTAGAAGACGAGAAAAATACTATTCTAATTAGAAACAACAACCTAATCGAAGCAATAACTGAACTAGAACACCAATTGGAAAAGGAAGTAAGCCTAAGAAACACTCTCACAAAAACATTTGAAGATTATGACAAAGACAGGGAAGAAACTTTTAATAGCTTCATCACAAAAATAAAGGACATGGAGAATGAAATTAAATGCCTTAGGCAAAAAAATACATGCAGCAGAATAAACACCGGAGAAGAATCTACAAAATCATTCAGAGAGACAAGCACACAGACAACCACTACAGAGGCGAAGGACCTCACAAACAAATCCACAGTTTCAGACAACAAAAAGCCAGAAGCATCAAACACAGAAACACTAATTCTACTTGAACTAAAGGCCCTAAAAGAAAAACAGAATAATATGGAGTCAAAAATGAAGAAATTAGAAGATAAAATAACAGTAGAAGATTCCCAGCACCTAATAACTGAGAAAAAGGAGACTCCTTGCAAGCCAATTAACACACCAAGACGAGTTTCATATAATAAAAACAAATTGGCAACTACTAAGAAAACCCATTTCAGTGTTTCCTTGCAAATAGCAAAAAGCAAGTTGAGGAAAGAAGCACCAGAACACCAAAGTCAACCACAACAAACACAAATCAAAATATTAAAGAACCCAAGGCCATCAAAATCCCAAAACGAGTTTGCTCTACTTTCAAGGGCACTATATCTCCCCCAAACAAATCAACTAAACCAAAGAACACAGGGAAACCCCCGATCACCGCCAAGCTTCTGAAGCCGGGAGAGACCATTGAAGACTTCTTTTGGAAAAATATAGACCTATATAAAAAGAATATTCTGTCACACACCAAGCGACTAAACATGACCGAGATGGACTGCCTCTCTTCTCAAGGAGAACAAAAACATGAGCAGCTGCAGGAACCCAATTCAAGTCAACAATCCAATCACTCTACAGTGTCCCATACTATAACCCCTTTTTTAGAAACAAACAGCCTGAAAAAAGGAAAAGAAAAATCTGCAAATCTCCAAATAATTCTTGTGTAGCAATAATGCACCAAAATATTAGAGGACTTGCTACAAAGACAAACAGACTACACCATATTCTCAATGACACAAAACCAAGCATTCTAGTCTTGACTGAACACGGACTGAAAAAAACAGAGCTAGAAGCTACAAAAATTCCCGGCTACTCTTTAATTACCCACTTTAGTAGAGAAGAACATAAACTTGGAGGTGTTGCAATATATTCCAAGGAATCCCTTGCTGATACAGTATCAGCTATTAACATATCAAACACATGCCAGGAGTTAATTTTCGAAGCAGCAATGATTCGCATGCAGACAACAAAGAAAAAGGATATCTACATTCTGGGAATCTATAGACCACCAATCGAAAATGCAAGAATTGCCCTTGACCTCCTATCAGACACGCTAGAACTACAAGAAGTACACAAGAAAAACCTCATACTCATCGGTGACATAAATATCGACAGGCTCACCCAAGATTCCAAAAACACCATGCTGGAAGAAGAGTTAACCACACAAAACATCTGGAGATTTCCTCTAGAGGCCACCAGAATAACCCATGACACAGCCACTTCAATAGACTGTATATGCTCAAACATACCATATGCGTATATTACTGGACAAGTTGTGCATACTGGTCTATCTGACCACACTGCGCAGCTATGCCTGCTGAAAACACACCAAGAAGACACTTCCCAAAGATTTGTAATGAAAAGAAGCCTAAACAACACAAACCTTAACAATCTAAAAGCTCACCTCCATCTACAAAATTGGGAACATGTTTACTCTTCACCGAATCTTGAAACCTCCTACAACAAATTTCATAATATTCTTCAAACAGCATTGGATTATACATGCCCATTAAAGAAAACTAAAATTAGTACAAATAAAAAACATATGAAGTACTACGATCCTGAAGCAAAATACCTTAAAGAGAACTTTTTGAAAGCTCTGCAAAAATTTGAGTTAACAAACAGAAATGAAGACAAATTAGAAATGATTAATAGAAAAAGGATATACGACATGAAACTAAGAAACCTAAAAATGTCCTCAACAGCTAGCTTCATAGAACAAGCTGACAACAAACCAAAAGCACTATGGCAAGTTATAAACAAGGAAAGAAAAGGAAAATGTGAAGAGAAAACCCTTACAGAATTAGAAATAAATGGCAAACTCACAAACGACACAAAAGAAATGGCCGAACACTTCAACACATTCTTCTCAAATATAGCAGAAAATACCCTTGACCAAAACAGAGCAATCGTTATAGACCCTGAAACAGTGCTGAATGGAGAGGAACCAGTCTGCCCAATACACCTTACCCTAACTTCAACATCCTATAAAGAAGTTAAAACGATAATAAACTCCCTAAAAGCCAAAA